AAATCAGTCATTAAAAAGAAAAGCTAATAAAAGAAACATTAAAAGAAAAAATACATGGATAAAAGTTACAGTGCAGTCTAAGATATGAATAGTTCAATTAAAAGCAGCAACAAAAAGAAAAGTCTTCAGCCTGGAAGTACTGCATTTTATTGATCTAAATTACTTAACGTAACAAGTTAACCTTCTTCTTGGACGCAGAAATCAAGTCATGTTTATTTTAAGAGTGCATTTAACGTGTACAGGGTAACAACAGACAGACAAAAAGTCCTCAGTCTAATGGAATAATCCCAATGAACCTAGCGATGTGAACATGGCAGTCCAGGAATGATAGTTTGATAAATATGAGTTTGATATACTTTATTAATCCCCGTGGGGAAATTGTTTGTAGCTGGAGTTGGCTGATAAACGCTGCTAGTCAATGTTGATTCGATGGTCAACTCTGTTCCCAGATAGTAAAACCTCTCACAAATACCGCGTATATAACGCAAATACCTCGGACTTAGTGATGTATTAAGACATATGACAAAACATGACATAAAACAAGCATACAGCACTGTTTAGAATCCATTTGGTCTGGTTTAGCGTAACCATGGCGGCCGCCATCTTTCACTTCTGTTGACAATATGCAGCTACCCAATTGGTGTAGCACGATCACGTGACGAACCGTGGCACGACTTTGGACCAAGATATTATTACGCTTCGAAGGGTCTAGTTCAGCCAATAATTACGTGCCTAGAAGAATTGGCAGGAATTTTAGCGACGATATTTTTTTTGGTGGATAAGCATGACTCGTTCTTTTTTATGAACTAAAGATTGTGTAGTTTCACTTCTGTGGAGCGGGTTGAAACGATAACAGGGTTCACCTTATGGCCTAAATGGAGAAAATGCTAAATCTGCTAGGGGGGGAAGATCCCCGTATTTTATTCACGGAGATTTTCCTGCGTCACTTGCCTCCCCGGGTACAGACGGCGCTGGCCAACACGCCTGTCACGGAGCCCCGTGCTTTGGCTGAGGAAGCGGATCGTTTTTTCCTGGCTACGCAACAGCCCGGGGCAGAGACGTTAGCCGCGACGCTCAGCGGCCCACCGGCAGTCAAGAAAGCGTGGCGGAGGCCGGACACGGCTGTGGCTAGCCGGCGTGGAGACGCCGGAGAGTGCGTTTACCACGCACGTTTCGGGACAAGGGCGAAGAGATGCATCGCTCCGTGCAGCTACAAACCCCCGGGAAACGGAGGGGCCGGCGCTCAGTAGTGGCTCTGAGCGTCGGCGGCACGTGCAGGCTCCTCTTCGTCAGCGACAGCGTTTCGGGGAGCCTGTTTCTGTGTGACACGGGCGCTCAACGGAGCGTAGTTCCAGCGTCGAGTGAAGACGTCGCCCGTGGGGGGCACGGACCGCGATTGACGACGGCTAACGGCAGTCCCATTCGCACGTACGGCGTGAGGCCTATGTGTTTGTGCATCGGAGGACAGCGTTTCAGCTGGGATTTTGTGACAGCGGACATTTCTTTTCCCCTCCTCGCAGCGGATTTTTTGTGTGCTCATGGACTCTTAGTGGACGTTAAGAATAGGCGTTTGGTGGATGCCTTAACGTTTTCTTCCCTCGTGTGCACACTTGGCAGCTCGCTGTCAGGTGCAGACACGTTTCTCAGACTGTTGGCCGAGTTTCCAGACCTGTCGCTACCCACCTTCTCTGCGCTTACCACTAAGCATGGCGTGGAACACCACGTCACTACCGGAGGGCCTCCTGTCTACGCCAGGGCCCGGCGGTTGAACCCTTCTAAGCTGGCTGTAGCGAGGGCGGAGTTCGCAACCATGGAGCGCCTGGGCATTGTCCGCCGCTCCGACAGTCCTTGGGCTTCCCCCCTGCACGTCGTTCCCAAATCGAACGGCGGGTTCCGCCCGTGCGGGGATTACCGCCGACTCAACGACGCCACTACGCCTGACTGCTATCCGGTGCCGCACATTCAGGACTTTTCGGCGCATCTGGCCGGTACGGGGGTGTTTTCCAAGGTGGACCTGGTGCGTGGATACCACCAGGTGCCCATGCACCCCCTGGACATTCCCAAGACAGCAGTGATAACGCCTTTTGGACTTTTTTAGTTCCTGCGGATGCCTTTTGGACTCAAGAATGCCGCTCAGACGTTCCAGCGCCTGATGGATTCGGTGCTGCGGGACCTGCCGTTTGTGTTTGTTTACCTCGACGACATACTCGTCGCCAGCGCTTCAGTGCAGGAGCACCTGTCCCACCTCCGAGCCCTTTTCACACGGCTCAACGAACACGGATTAATCATCAATCCTGCAAAGTGCCAGTTCGGGGTGTCGGACATCGATTTCCTGGGGCACCGCGTCACCAAGGGCGGTGCGACACCTCTGCCAGCGAAGGTGGAGGCTGTTGCGGCGTTTCCTCGCCCGCTCACAGCCCGGTCGCTCCGTGAGTTTCTGGGGATGGTGACTTTCTACCACCGTTTCATCGCCCGGGCCGCACACATCATGCGGCCGCTGTATGAAGCGTTGAAAGGCAAGACCCCCGTCCAGGAGATCGACTGGACAGCAGAGGCGGACGGCGCTTTTGCTGAGGTCAAGACCGCGTTGGCTCAGGCGGCTTTGCTGGCACACCCATCATCTACGGCTCCCATCTCCATCACCACGGACGCGTCAGACTACGCGGTCGGCGCAGTGCACGAGCAGTGGGTGGAGGGCGCTTGGCAGCCGCTCGCCTTTTTCAGCCGCCAGCTGACGCCTAGAGAACGCAAATACAGCGCCTTTGACCGGGAGCTCCTCGGACTTTATTTGGCCGTGCGGCACTTCCGTTTCATGCTGGAAGGCCGTGAATTTACGGCGTTTGTCGACCACAAGCCGCTCACCTTTGCCATGTCAAAAGTGGCGGAGCCTTGGTCGGCACGTCAGCAGCGGCAGCTGTCCTACATATCGGAGTTCACTACGGACATTAAGCACGTGGCTGGCAAGTCAAACCTGGTTGCTGATTGCCTCTCCAGGGTCGTCATCGGTGCCGTCCAGTTGGGCCTGGACTATACTCGCATGGCGGCAGACCAGGTCACAGATCCCGGCGTCCAGGCCCTGAAGGTGGAGAGCGCGGGGCTGCGCTTGGAGGACGTGGTGTTCGGCGACGCGGGCATTACTCTCCTGTGTGACGTCTCTACGGGCCTGGCGCGGCCTGTCGTCCCTGCCAGCTGGAGGCGTCCTGTGTTCGAGGCTGTGCACGGCCTGTCACACCCCGGCGTTAAACCTTCGGTCCGTTTGGTAGCGGCGAAGTTCGTTTGGCAAGGACTGAAAAGGGACGTGAGGACTTGGGCCAGGGAGTGCGTGGCTTGTCAACGCGCTAAGGTGCACCGCCACACGAAGGCCCCGTTGGAGCGTTTCCTGGTGCCTGAGAGGAGGTTTGATCACGTCAACATTGACCTGGTTGGTCCGTTGCCTTCCTCTCAGGGGTTTTCCTACCTCCTCACCATGGTGGACAGGACGACCCGTTGGCCGGAGGCGGTTCCGCTCGTTTCGACATCAGCCGCAGACTTTGCCCGGGCCTTCATTGCAACGTGGGTGTGTCGTTTTGGCACCCCGTCAGACATTTCCTCAGACAGGGGCTCTCAGTTCACGTCCGAGCTCTGGAACGCTGTGGCAGGCGGTTTGGGGGTTAAGCTGCACAGGACTACCGCTTACCACCCTCAGGCTAACGGTCTCTGCGAGCGCTTTCATCGCTCCATGAAGGCGGCCCTCAAGGCCGGCCTTACGGACGGTAACTGGGTCGACAAGCTGCCCTGGGTGATGCTGGGCCTGAGGACCGCACCTAAGGAAGATCTGCAGTGTTCTACAGCGGAGATGGTCTACGGTCAGCCGCTGAGAGTTCCGGGGGATTTCCTCCCAAATGCATCGGCTCCCTGGTCGGCGTCGGCCCAGCGGGTTTTCCTGCGTGACGCCGCTGAGGCCTTTGTTCCGATCCCTACTACTCAGCACGGTACTCAGGTGTCCCAGGTTCCCGCAGAGCTCCGCTCGGCGGAGCACGTGTTCATCCGGCACGATGCGCACAGAGGCCCCCTGCAGCCCCCTTATGATGGGCCTTTCCGGGTCTTGGAGCACGGGGACAAGCACCTGGTGGTCGACCTGGGTGGCAAGGCCGAGCACGTCTCGGTGGACCGGGTGAAGGCTGCTCACCTGGACTTGGACCAGCCTGTGGTGCTGGCTCGACCTCCGCGACGGGGCCGCCCCCCGGCCTCGTCCCCTGTCACGGATTTAAGACCTGTTGTTCCGGTCCCTCCCCTTCCGGGGGCCGCACAGGCGGGAGTCACTTTTCCGACTCCCGTGCTCAGGAGTCGTGGGGGTCGGCGTGTCGTTCCTCCCCGCCATGCTGATTTTGTTTATGTGTGAATTCTGGGGGGGCTTGTGTGGTGACACGTTATTGGACATAATTCACCTTGCTTATTGTGTTGCCACACGGACCCTTTAGTGGGGAACACCTGTAGCTTTAGCTGCCATTCCTGCTAGCTCATCAGGCAGAGCAGTGCATGTGTTAACCTCTCTGAAAGTAATGGATAATAAAGATTGGAACTCCATTCTTAATACACCGCCTCCGACTCTCTTTTCACGGCACTACAATAGGCTATTTGTATTTATTTTAGGATCTTAAAATCAGACCTGTTTTTTAAATGAAATCTGACAGCAGACAGCTCTGATCACCTAATGATAAATGCGCCACACCTAATCGCCGGCCATTCAGCCAGAGCTCCCTCTATACAAATCAAACTGTAGACGGTGTGAAAGCACCTATTGTTTTAAATAATGGTCGGAATCTGACCTGTGAGCCTTCTGAGTTACCGTGGGACAGCACATTCTAAACTAAAATGTTCAATCAATAAAGTAACATCTTATCTTAATAATATCTTCATATTAATAATAATAATAAATCATACAGTATGTGTTAAGCTCCGTGATCGCTTTTCAGGACTGAACCCACAATACAAAACACGGACAGAAAAACAGGAGTTAGCAGCTAAAGGTTTTAATTACAAATCGTGACAGGGGATACTAACTGTTGTTAATATAGTCCAGAAAAGGGGATAAAAAAGCGAGGGAATGGGGATCCTCAGCCGAGGCTCCGGAGTGAGCTGGGGATATCGCCAGGCAGATGAAAGGAGGGTTGAGCCTGTGTCTTTACACTCCCGAGAGCGAGTAGGTTGGAGCAGGAGTTAGGGTTTGTCCAACCGGACAGGAGTGTGGGGGTTTCAGAGCCGAGGGGAGCGAGCAGGCTTGAGCTGGTAGCGTGGAGAGCGGATGAATCCGACGAGGAAGTGGCTGGACGTGGCTAGCGGAGGAGGTGATGATGGGTTCTGAATAGAGAGACAAACAGGTAAGACAAAAAACTGATTCCAGAGTTGTGCTAGGCTAGAAAGCAATTCGTTTACCAGTGTAATCTTGACGACGAACTGGTGAAGACTGGATGAGGAGACCGGGTTAATAAGCAGGTGTGGATGAGTAGATGATCAGGATGAATGAGAAGCAGCTGCGGAGATGAATTGGCGGGAACCAGAAGTAGGTCAGCCACGCCCAGCCCGGGAGACAAACACAGACAGACTGACAACAACAGACAACAAACAAAAAGGGAAGCAGAAGGAGGGAGTACTGCAAATCCTTACAGTATGTGTCCGAAAGGGAGCAGGAGGAAGCAAACACCAAACAAAATATTACAAAAAATATACTGCATATTAAAGCAAACGATAGTAAAGGTAAACTATGAGCATAACAAATAAAGAAGTGTAACATTTACATTATTATTATGATTATTTAATATATCTAGACCAGCGACGTGCAGTCAGGGGAGGCAGGGGAGGCAGAGCCTCACCTGTCATACTCCAATGTAACGGAAAAACAACTAAAGAAAAACTAAATAGTAATAATAATAACATGTCTCCACTGATCTGTGTTGTAACTGTGATTTATGTATGATTCCAATCGCTTTTTATAGTCAAAATCAGCAAATTGGCCGAGCTCCGCTACAACTACATGGGAGCGATGAGGAGTGAGGCAGGGACGAGCTCTGCCTCACGTAAGCCCACAGTAACTTACTGGAGCGCGGGCACTAATGTAGCGCGGGCACTTATTTTGTGAGCGCGCTCAAGCCAGTTACTGTCAGTGTTGCCAACTTGGCGACTTTCTCGTTAAATTCGGCGGCTTTCCAAACCCTCCGGCTACTTATTTTTGTCAAAAGCGACTAACGACTAATTTAACGACTTGTAATGGTGTTATTAGGGACTTTTCTGGTGTTTGGAGACTCTCTCTCTCTCTCTCACACTCACAGAGGCTGTGTGCTCCTCCGTGGCGATGACGGCTTGCGTTAAAAAACAATAATAAACATATTTGTAAAGTGGGGGGACACAAACGGGATTTCGAAAAGTGTCCCCCCTGTCCCCAGTGGAAATTACGCCATGTGTGTGTGTGTGCTTCAAGTGCAATAAATATATATGCAGGTTGCAACACACAGAGTAAAACTCTGCCCCTCATGTGCTGTATAGGCTGGCACGACTAGGCTGTTCAATGGGGCTGATGTGTTGTGTAGATTCTGCCAGAAGGGAAATCACGGTCAAACTCCTTATGAAGTGGTGAGGTGCCACATTGCTTTTCTTCCCGACTGCAACGCTGGTCCCGCAAATCAAGCAAGCACGTGATTGGTCGATATTCATTTTGGGGGGTTAGGGGGTATTAGATAGATATAGAGTTGTAGTAAGTAGATAGAGTTCGCTATGATTTAGGTTTCGTAGATTCTTTTAATTACCTTTCCTTTTTTGTTTTGTGTATTTTATACATTTTGGATTTGCTTGGCGAGCTATTTTTAGAACATGCCCGGCGGGCGACTCACATTGCCCCTGCATGCGACGGCACCGTGTTGGCTTACCCTGGTCTAAACTGTATTCACAAAAGTACAGAAAGGAGTGGGAATCAAACCCTGAGTTTAAAGGATGGTTGAAGGAGCCATTTATTGGAGATGTCACACGGGCATACTATACTGCCTTTATTGTAAGGGAGATTTCTACTAAAAACTACTAAAATTATTTCTGCTTTCTACTTTTTCTAATAGAGACATTTCTGATCTACTGTCGTCTGGATTTACTCAAGTTTTGATCCTCCTTGAAGGGGGTGGAACGTTTTTTTACCGCCATTGCATGATATGCAAATTAGGCAATGACGTCATTTAGGGACTTCTGGCGACTTTTCGGACAGCCAATAGCTACTTTCCTTACTAAGGAGTTGGCAACACTGGTTACTGTGGGGTGAGGTGAGGCACAGATGAGCTCTGCCTCACCTCAGAATGCGTCACCCCACAGAAACTGTCTGGAAAGCGGGCCCTAAGCGCATGCCTGCACCATCTCACTGTATGTCACCAATGTAATGTTTGTAGATCCCTTTATTACATTTATCCTCGCCATCCATAGTCTCTAAATAACTTATTTCACGTATATATGATATTTAGGCTCGCTGGTCTCATCATACAACGGCAATGAAAAAAGCACCAGGGGAGGCACCCATAACCTCTGCCGCACTGAAGGGGGCGCAAGTGAGCCCACAGGTTCTTGTTGCTACTGTTATTCTACGCAGAGACGGTATAGATGCAAACGACAAGCTAGACTTTTGAAACTAGAGGAAGATAAGGAGGACTTTTACAAAAAAGTAATAGAGATTGTTGTCCAGAAGGAGAGCATGGACTTCATCTTCAAGTCAAGGTAAGACCACAATTGTAATGAACATGGGATCTTACTAAGAAAGAACAATCCAATATTTAAATTGTGGGTATCCTTTTGTTGAACGGTCTGTTTAAAATGAATCGAAGCATCAGACTAACAAAGCTTTTGAAAATAACCGAACATTTCGATTAAGGTCAAAATATAATATTTGTAAATCTGACTCTGAAAGAGTCAGTGCCTCACCAGCCATGAACCTCACCGCACGTCACTGATCTAGACTATATATTATTGAATTACAAGATTAGATATACTTTATTTGATCTAAAATATTGATGTTTTTCCGTTATACTGTAGTAGCCTGCGAAAACCATAACAAATATGTGTTCAAATGCTCTTCACTAAAACACAACTGAAGTACTGAAAGTCCATGAAACTTGTCTTTCTGTATTTGCGAATGAAGCGCCATCTCATGGTTAAATCCTGAAATTGAAAATCTGGCAACGCCCTCTTGGAAAATAGTGGGAGGGCTTAAATTAAATCTGCTGAGATTTTAAAAGAAACGTTTTTATGTTTTAAAATGAAGATTTCTGTGCTTAGTCTGCTGAACCAGTGTGTGACATATTCAAAATTAAGGCAGCAGTTGCCAAACGAAAGTATTGGTTACATGCTATGTTTACATGATTTATTTATTTTGATAATTTACAAAGTTCTAAAATGCATCTTTCTTGTGTTTCAAAGGTTTTTCACCTGAATAAAATGACCCAGTCAGCAAAGAGACTTAAGTGAACTGCTAAATAAAGAGTCTAAAAAGAAAATATGTGTCATTAGAGTGGAATCCTGTTCATCAAAGTCCAGTAGATGCCTCTGGTCCCTTTCAAGTGGGGAAGCTACACCAAAATCAGAGGAAACTTGACAGGCAATATTATAAGGAGTCATTCTGTAAACTTTCATTGTTATGCGGATGATACTCAATTATATTTATCAATCAAGCCTGATGAAATTAATCATCTAAATAAAATTCAAGGACTTAAAAACGTGGATGACCTTAAACTTTTTGATGTTAAACTCGACCAAAACTGAAGTTATTGTACTTGGCCCAAAGAATCTACGAAACAAATGATCTAAAGATATACTAACTATGGATGGCATTAATTTGGCCTCCAGTGAGACTCTAAGGAATCTTGGTGTTATATTTGATCAGGATTTATCCTTTAACGCCCACATAAAATCAATTTCAAGGACCGCCTACTTCCATCTACGTAACATTGCAAAAATCAGGCATATCTTGCCTCAAAACGATGCAGAGAAACTAGTCCATGCATTTGTTACTTCAAGGCTGGATTATTGTAACTCTTTATTATCAGGGTGTACCAAGAAGTCAGTCAAGTCGCTTCAGCTGATTCAAAATGCTGCAGCTCGTGTACTAACCAGAGTTAGGAAAAGGGACCACATTACTCCTGTTCTGGCTGCCTTACACTGGCTCCCTACAGAACACAGGATATCATTTAAAATGCTTCTTCTCGCCTACAAAGCCCTTAATGGGCAGGCGCCATCTTACCTTAAAGAACTCATTATACCCTACTGTCCTACTAGGGCATTGCGTTCCAAGAATGCAGGGTTTTGGGTTGTTCCTACACAGCAAATGTGCCAGTGTTATATTTTCAGTGTTAGTGTTAATCAGCAGGGTTCAGTGTTATTTTAACACTTAGTTTAGTCAAGCTATCACTCAGAGAGTTTTTTCCTGAAAGTGTTGGTGTCAATTTTGGTCGTTGTGAGGACTCTCACACCCCGAGTATTGAATTGACCACACCCCTCAATTTCCGGCAAAGGAGCGCCATCCAAGACCTTCGACAGACATTTTTCTAACCGAAGCGGTAAGTTTGAAATGAATGTTTTGCGGTTGATGTACAGTAACCATGAACAATTTCTGTAAATGGTAATTATTTTACTTAATGTGTATATCTTGTATCTGTAACTTTTTAATCAAATTTGAAATCGTTTTTTATGTCGAATTTCACCATTGCAACTATACTGATGAGTAAACTTGAATTACAGGAGAGTAGACCTACATTCGACACGAACAGGAGGCGCATTAGGGGACAGAGGGGACAGAGAGGACAGAGGTGAGTTGTTTTTACAATATGCGAAAAGGAGAAATTAAATAAATGGTATCTTGAAACTGGTATCTTATTAAAATGTAAGGTTGTGGATTATGGTGTATGAGTCGACGTCGACGGTAGCATTATTAGCTTGCAATTAGCAACCTCCTACTGAAGCAGAGAACAAACGCGAGTGAACACTGCGGCGCTCTCCTGTGTGTGTGACGGGGGGAGGGAAACGAATGTGGACTATTGTAAGCTTTATTTCTCTAAGCTATTAACTTTATAATCAATCAATCAATCAACAACTTTATTAATCCCGCAAGGGGCAATTGGTTATGAGCAGCAGCTTATGTCATGTACACAGGCAGGAACATACAAGAAGAGAAAGAAAAAAAACACACAGATACACCCGGGAGCACAGATGTGAATAATTCCAATTTACACGATAAATAGTTCAAAGCATCACAATAATAAATAAATAGATAAATAATCAAGTTAAAAGCCTTTTCAAGAATGTCAAAGTTTGAGTGCAGAAGGGATGAATGATTTAGAAAAGCGATTAGTCCTTTGATCAGGTAGAGCATATCTTCGCCCTGATGGCAACAGACGAAATTCATGTGAAAGAACACGACCTGGAGAGTTCAGAATGCTCTCTGCTTTCCGCAGAATCTGTTGGTTACAGAAGGAATTTAAGTCTCTCTGTTTCACGCCGATGATCTTGGAGCAGGTTTTAACAATGCTGTTCATGCTGTTCCTGTCTTTCAGTGTAAGGCTATAGAACCAGCAGATAAAAGAAAAACAAATAAGGCTCTCAATGAATGCTTGGTAAAAACGACAAAGAATGAAGGGCCTGACAGAGAAAGAGTTCAGTTTGCGAAGAAGGTGCATTCTCTGTTGACCCCGCTTCAAAATACACTCAGTATTCACATCAAATTTGAGGTGGTCATCGAAAAAGGTGCCCAAGTATTTGTATGATGTGACAATTCCTACCTTGTCATTGTGTATGATGCACTCCTTAGGAACATCCTTGTGACGTCTAAAATCAATGATCAATTCCTGGGTTTTGGAGACATTTAAATCCAGAAAACTGTCATCACACCAGGAAATAAAATCGGCAAGAGCGCACGCCTGATTCTGAGCCGCTAAGGAGGGACAAGAGGGCGGTATCGTCAGAGAATTTAACCAGGTAGCTGTTGTCTTGCATGCTCCTGCATTTATCAGTGTTCATTAGGGGTGTTGAAAATAATCGTTTCTACGATGCATTGCGATGCGGACGTGGACGATTCGGTCTCGATGCAGTGACGGAAGATAATCGGTTATAGCGTAGTAATGTTGCTTCCTGATTTCCGGCCGCGGCTTTACTATAACGTTTTTTTTTTCTGTCACTTTAATATCAAATCGGTCGGTGACGCAGAGATCAGGGAACAGACGTGACAGCGGCACAGCAACACCAAACACGGAGCAGTCTGCTTTATCCACCAACACAAGAACACCAGTCCAGAACCAACAGCAGAAGGACCCGCTCTGAATCACTCCGTGTCGCTGCGGCACAGGGATTTATGTTTTTCAAAAATAATCGCGTTACAATCATGTCAGGTTTTTGGTGGATTTAATTAAGTCTTGGATTGCAGAGTATGAATGTCCTCTAGCAATTTTCAGACGATATATACGTGTGTGAAGTTTGTGAAGGCAGGAGGAAAAAAGCTTCCGCGATCAACGTCTCCTCTCCGTTCCTCCAAGCCCCGCCCCCTCCCTGAAAATAATGAGTGACAGGCTGATAGTGACCCGATAGAAACTTTATTATTCACTTAATCACTGATTGAGATGATGAAGCTAATTTAATCTCATACATTCATGGGATTTATGTAACAGTAAGGCAGAGAATGTAAGTGTGCACCCACATGCAGTATTTTAGTTGTTATATGCTGTTGTAAATACTCCTGTTGTCTGCTGTTCAGACTCAAGTCCTGTGTGTGATGCCACATTCAGGACATTCAGTGTCCTTTCTTTAACAGAAGACCGTTGCTAGAAGCTGCAGCTAGACTGCAGAAGCATTATTTTTTTGTTTTTGAGGATGGAACAACTTCACACACAGATATAGGGAGGCTAGACCTATACAATTCATTTATTTTGGTTTATAAATTAATGTCAAGACATTTATGTTATTGATTTCTGAAGCGCTTTCTAAATAATAAAAAGAGTTCATATGTATTTACTGCATGCAACATTGATGAAAAATAAGCCATGTGCAGTAATATAGAAAATTGAGGATGCAACGCATTGGTATGAATCGTGATGCATCGGGATATCGAATTGAATCGAATCGTTGACAGGATAATCGAATCGAATCGTAAGACCAGTGAAGATGCACAGCCCTAGTGTACATTATAAAAAGTAGGGGCGAAAGAACGCATCCTTGAGGCGAGCCTGTGGAAGTGATGACAGAGTCAGAGAGGCGTCCATTGACAAACACCTTCTGCTCTCTATTAGTTAGAAAGTTTAAAATCCATAAAACAAGTTGATCGGGCAGTTTAAAATGACATAATAGGCTCTCCACCAGGAGATGCGGCTGCATTGTGTTAAATGCTGAAGAAAAGTCAGCAAACAAAAGCCTGGCATGGGCTTCTGGCTTTTCAAGGTGTTTGTGGAGGGTGTGCAGTATAAAAAGCTTTGCATCCTCTACGCCTCTCCCTGCCTGATACGCAAATTGTAGTGGATCAAGTTCACCACCTATTACTGACATGACAAGGCCTTTAACAATTTTTTCAAACATTTTCATTACCAATGACGTTAAAGCCACCGGTCTGAAGTCGTTTAGGACTTTAGGATGAGGCTTCTTAGGGATGGGAATTACAGTTGAGGATTTCCACATATCAGGAATTTGGCTATTCTGAAGTGACAATTGGAATATATGCTGGAAAACACCACAGAGTTCGCTAGCACAATACTGGAGTGTCCGCCCACAAATATGGTCAGGACCTGGGGCCTTCCTAATATTGACTTGTCGTTTATAATGCTGCTTTGTCACATGTTCACCTATTTCCCCCGCCGTCCCGTGACTAGGCAGATTAGCACAAAAATCCCAGCAGTCATGCATTCCCTGATGTGAGCCCAGCGGTCCTCTTCTAGTTCCTAGCTTAAACATGCCGATATAGTACAATCTAAGGCACACCTGTGCAATAATCATGCTGTCTAATCAGCATCTTGATATGCCACACCTGTGAGGTGGGATGGATTATCTCGGCAAAGGAGAAGTGCTCACTATCACAGACTTTTCAGATTTGTGAACAATATTTGAGAGAAATGGTTATTTTGTGTTCATAGAAAATGTTTTAGCTCTTTGAGTTCATCTCATGCAAAATGGGAGCAAAAACAAAAGTGTTGCATTTATATTTTTGTTCAGTGTATAAAGTAACATGGAAATACTCAAGTAAAGTACAAGTACCTCTAAACTGAGCTTCAGTATTTGGGTAAATGCTTTAGAGACTTTGAAACGAGGAGATAAAGAAGGCCAAAAACATTTGAGACAAAATTACATTTATTGTTAATGAATGATTTCTCCATCTGTCAGTAAATGCTAATCAATACACATCAGTATCAGGTATAATGTTTTAAAACTCAAAGAATATTAAACTAATAGTAAAAATGTTAAACTAAGCAGGAAGCTGATAACCCGTTAAAACAACAACAGAGTAAACCGATTACAATGGAAATAAATTCAAAACTTTATGTGAAAAATACAAGATTTAAAAGTTATTATTTTTCCCTTCAGCTGTTGATCTTCTTTAATCTCCTTATTCTCATATCTGTTGTTCTGATTAAAATAAACTTTCCATTAGTCTGAGTTATTGTTTAACGTTTAGAAACGTCTCTATCATCCAGCAGGAGCCACGTATCATTTCAGGACACTCAGCAATACAATCAACATTAACAAAAGTCACGTAGAGTTACAAATCTCAAAGAAAATAACATGAAGAGCAGAAAAAACATTTAGCAATAAACTGATATTTGTAAATGATCATAATAGAAAATAAACATCACTTTTAATAAAGTTTTACATTGGTGGTAACGGCCCATCCACACAGCGGCGTGCGATGAATCTTCAACGCTTCTGCCCATTCACTTTGAATGGGGTGACGTCACGATTCGCCGAACTGCATTGTGGGAGCGAAGCGTAGCTTTGCTGGTGTTTCTCGCTGCAAAAGTTGAGCAATGTTCAACTTTTGAAGCTTCGGCGGAAGCGTCAGCCAATCAAATCATATGCCAGTAGAAGCTCTAGCCAATCAAACCGCTGCTTGTGTGTCAGGGGCGGGAGATTCATGTGATTGGTTGGTTGGTCAAGTTTCAGACACGCCCGCCGGCAAGCTTCAACGCACGCCGCTGTGTGGACTTACCATTATGGTTTCAGGACGTTAATGATTTCTGCTCAAAACAATCACACTTTCACATTTCATCACATGGTACATTTGACTTCCTGTCCAACAGAACATGCAGATTGCTCCTGCAGGAAGATGTTTGAGCAGGAGAACAATAAAGCTTTATAACTCATTGATTAACACTAGAGCTCTAAGTGCGGGTCTATTTGGACTTCATGTGTTGTATCAGTGACGGAAGAAGTATTCAGATTCTTTACATTGGTTAACGTTATGATACCACATTGTTTAGATACTGTTACAAGTAGAAGCCCTGCATTCAAAATGTCACATAGGTCAAAGTATGTAAAGTATAATCAAAATGAAGCTATAGTGATAAATGTAAAGGTACCCGATGCAGAAGAGTAAAGAGTAGAGTCGTGAAGGAAAGAGTCCAACATTTCACTTTGAACTGCATTCCACCTCAGCGCTGGGTGGACCGGGTTCTCTCATATTCCTAAAGAACCGCTGATCCAAACCGCCTCACACGGGGCAGCAGCTCCCCCTGGTCCATAGCAACACACATGCCAAACAGGAAGTAGATGGGTCCCAGGGCTGGTGAGATCCTCTCAGATATGAAAACACAGACGTCTTCCAGTTCGTTGATAGATCTCCTCTTGGTCTTGCTGGCATCTGTTTGGTCTTGGTTTGGTTTTGATCCAAAGGATTTGTGATCCCTATGGACTCTGGAGGAGCTTCTCTCGGCTCTCCTTCAGCATTTATTCAAGACTAACCATCTTGCTTTGAAAAATGTAATCTTTCATGATTAAAAAAACTGTTAAACGATAATTTTGTAAGAAAATTCAATTAAAATAAATGACCCATGAACATGAGTATTTGTGCCATCATCACTTGGTTGTGATGGCCAACAAGGACTCTTGATCAGTAGTAGATTCGACTAGAATCGGCACTGCCCATGAGCTCTGCTTGTCCTCTCACCTCCAGCAGGTACTCGACTCGTTGCTTCCAGCCTGACTTGGCCTCAGATTTCTCTCCCTCAATCAGCAGGTCAATGTGCTCTGGAGTGGAGAGAGGATTTGGCTTCAGTGCGATCTCTCCTTGTCTGTTTAGAGACTCAGCAGACCTCTCCATCATCTCCCTAACTTCAGTCTGATGACGCTGATATTCAACCTTCATTCGGTCGATCACTTCCTGAACAGTTCCCTTAGCCTTTGAGGCTTCCAGGTACTTTTGTTTCAGATCATCCAATGTTAGCATTTCTTTAACCTCCCTATACTCCCATCTGTACTTCTGGCTAAAATGTTGATTCCAATGACATTTGCCTGGACACTGGGTACAGTTTCCATCTGGTCCCATTGCTGCACACTTCCTTTTATCTGCATCGTTTGGATGTGGACATGGCCAGTGGCAGCTGACATGACACACCTGACAGTTGGTGATGAAGTCTCCAGTGCCAGATACATCTTTTTGAAAAGGCTTCATGAAGACTACTTCAATCTCAAATGTCTCATTTCTGCTGATCTCTGCTTCATGCAGTTTAAGTTGTGCAGTTGTCTCTTTTATCTCCTCAAGCTTGGCTAACCCTACTTTAACCTGCTCTTGCACATTTTCAATTGAGATCTCAAGCTGCTTTCTTTCTCTGAGGACTTCCTCTGTCATTGTCAAGCTTTTGGTTGTCATCCTATCTAAAGCAACAAAGAACTTCTTCATGCTTTTTGCCCCCATTTCCCAGAACATCTTTTCAAAGCCTCCCTCTTCCTCCTCTCCACTGGAGTCAGCAGCAGCAGATGATTTGTTCTGTGCAAACAAGGCAGAATTATTGAATTTGAAGTGAACTGGCAGCCCGTCTTTTGTTTTAGGACATGGGACGCCTGAAGCTTTGATCGCCTCCAGAACTGGTGGGCGTTGGCCGTCTGCGAATGTCACCAGAACCTGGATGTTTTCTGCCACATCTTTGCCAAAGATTGAGAGCACAGAATCAAACACATACTGCTGTGTCGGTGTGAGCTGAGCTGAAGAAGCCTGAGCTACAAAACACACAACGTCAATTTCACTGATGCCATTTTTGGAGGAGAAGAGATTACGTATCTGTTCTGTGATCTCCTTGTCTCTTTGTATTCCTCTTGTGTCTCCAAAACCTGGAGTATCAACAACGGTCAGAGAGCTGGGGCTTTTAAAGCCCTCTTGGTGGTTGATTTTGTACACAGTGACTTCAGAGGTCTGGCTCTCAGCTTGAGATCTCGACTGATCCTCGTCAACTAACTTAAAGCGATATGGATCCTCCCATTCAATACCTAGAATGTAGTTGACCATCCCATTGATGAGAGTTGACTTCCCAGCCCCAGTTGCTCCGAGAACCATTACGGTGCGATTAGTTTTAACAGTTTTGGACTCTTTCCCAAAACTGAATTTCTTGCACCCTTTTTCATCGATTTGTTGTTCTTGCTGTGGAATTATGTAAACAGAAGGCCCTGTCTCTGATTTTATCAATTTGCTTTTTTCTTTAATTGCATCAGCAAGTCGGCTGGGGCTCTTGGAAAACAATCCAGACATTATTTTGTTTTTGAAGTAATGAATTTAAAATCAGGTGATACCTGGACCTGGCCTCCAAATAGGTACTAGTTCATTCTAATCAGAAAACCTTTTAGACTTGTGGTCTGTGCAACAACAGTGTGTCTTCTGCTCTTCAAGTGAATGGAGTGCTCTCAGATCCACATCTGTAAAAGACGACATGTACAAAATGAAAATGTATAGGATGTAGCACTCAACTGAAGCACTATTATGTGTTCCCTTTTGCTACTTGTGCATGATGAAAAAAAATACAGGAACATTTTTCTATGACTAATATGACATTTATGTAGGGCACTTATATGATCTCAAGAAGCAACAACTATTTGAATAAGGAAAATCTTTCTAATCTACATTTTTGAATAGTTTCTATTGATTACAAATGCAATAGTAAGAGTAGTTAGAGCTCATCCCAAATAATTGTCTTTTAAATCGGTCTTTACAAAAATGGCAAACCAATCTATGTATAAAGCATAATATACATGTTAAACCTGCTTACAAATAAGCCATTAAAGCTATACTGAATGTGTCTCTGAAGGCTTTTGCTCAAAATACCAAACAGCCCGCCCACATTTCCGATATTATGTCATGACAGCAGCAAATCTGGATCAGCTCAGGGTTTTATTTCCGGACACTTTGTGAGTCTCCTTACACACCGGGGACACATGGTGATGTAGAAAAGACATCTAAAAGTGCATTTTGCATGACAGGGGACCTTTAAGCCCTCTCTGATAATTACATTTAAACATTTTCATTACCAATTGTGAACTTTAAAACCTGGCAAAGATGTCTTAGATATTATGTTAAAGATTATGTATTAGTTTCCTTATGGTCCTGACATGAAATTCTAAAGTTTTTTGAATGTTGTGCCTTTTCAAATAAAGTAAACTGTTTTCTAGATTAGCTGTCAGATAATTTATTCATGTGGCTGGGCCGCCACTGGCCCTTTAAGACCCTCCCCCCTTCTTTAGTCAGCTGGCCCTTCCATATAAGGAAAACGCCGCAGCTGTACGTAGTTCAGCATCTCCAGCCACACTTTAAATGCCCACTCACTCCTCACCCAAATCAGCTGTGACTATTATGAGGCGTGTATTCCCCCTATACGAGGTATGTGAAGCTGCTGTTAGGACTTGTAACTAGTGATGGCAAAATGAAGCTTTTAATGAAGCGTCAAACCACTTGGACAATTGTGTCGGAAATAGGTTCATTTCTCGAAGCTTCAGTTACAGCGACCTCTCCTGGCGAAGTGCAAGGCTGCAGTGGGTTTAACGTATCTTTGCCTTGAAAAATATTCGATGCACACACACACAAAGACTGAATATCATGTTCTATTTGCAATTAAAGATTGATAATTGTGTGTATTGGGTTATTATATTGGGTTATTGAGAAGAGACTAGAGAGTGCTAGACATGTTTTTGGGCGGAGAGGGCCTTTTATTAGTTATTAAAGTTGAAAAGCAATGATTAAAATACGTCCATTCCGGGATTTGAACCAGCTGCGTGGAGGACATCGCTGCGCGGAGGACATCGCCGCCGGCTCTACCCACTGGGCTATCTATTCCTTGAAATATTTAACTGTTTTCATATTACTGATAATTGTCTTTTTGTTCACAACTTCTCCACATTTCGAAGTGTTTCCCAGAACGACCTATCTTACTTCCTGGCTTGCTTTATAATGATATCAAATGCAATAACAACAACAACAACTCAACAGCAACAACGCAAACTACGACAACAACCCACACATTGTGCATTGTTTAGAGCGGTCATAAAGTGTTGAAGCACTCAAGTTTGAAACTGTTTCAACCTGTCACCTGTCAGAATCGAGACGAGGCAGTGCATTGAATCGCGTGAATGGACCGTGAACCAGTCAGTTGATTCATTCAGGAAAAGAAGCAGTTGCTGCTTCGGACGTCACATGTCACGTGATTTGAAGCAAGCTTCGAAGCACTGCTTCTATGGAATAGGAAGTCCAGGGTTGAAGCTCCGTTCGAAGCTTCAGTGTCAAACTGCCATCACTACTTGTAACATTCAGTGTACCACTAAATTGTTAACATGTGGTCTGTAAACGCCAGGCTTCTTGACAGCCCCAGCAGAGACTGTAGAGAATCACCGTTGCGGAGGTGTCCAGTGAGGTGATGATTGAGTGAATGCGTTTGCATCAGAGGATTAGTTTGCTACCGTTTTGCCTACCTTCTATGTTTTGCTTATTGACTAGTTTGTTGTATTGTGTACAAACTAGTGATTTCAATCTTTAAAGCTACAGCACCCTCCTTGTAACGACCCACCCTGTCCCACAAGGTCTAATACTGTCTCTGTGCTTATACTTCTTCAGTGACGATCCTGGCCATACTGTGGAGTGGAGCATGTGGTTTGCTGGGCACTTTTTGCATGCAGATATGGGTGATTTGCAGTGAGTGTTGATCGAATACAGCTACACGTGGTGATATTGTGGTTTTGGGGAAACCCTCAGCAGTTGGCCAGAAGAATCACTTTTTAACTATCACTATATTTGTGATATTGTAATTATTCGAGTTATTCTCTCCTTGTCAGAGCCAGCCTTCAATCGTGGGACTTAGGTGTGTCGACTGGGAAAGCTGAATAAGTTGTAATCTGCATTTTATGTTACTGAACTTTTACTTGATTATTTATATAATAAACGTTTGTAAACATTTGAACTTGAGGCCGCGTCCCTGTCCATCCTTTTATTCTTATCTGCGTGACTTGTCCTAAGGGCTCGTATTGGGGAACCCAGGTTAGCGTTAAGTATCCTAACCCCCTTTTATTATCGCAGCCCCCCCTCCCCGGTGGGGCTGGTCACATTAGCAAATTGTGTCCTTTTGCCTCTGTTATGATAGCGATGTTATGTGTATTTGTTGCAGTGCATAGCTCTTTTGTTTTTTTATTTATTTATATAATGCCATTCCTGTCTTTGTACGGCTCTTTGGAAAGCATCAGTCTGAGATCCTTTTTTCATCTGTTTTCTGGTCGACAAGTTTCTCCATGGAAGGGGAGCAGAGCGAATGCAATTTTGTTAAAAAAAAACATGAATATTTCAGCAGGGTGTTTATTACAGTTCAGCTCCATATCGTGTTACAGAAGTAACCGTGTTGTGTGTAAGACAGAAGTCCTGCATGTGGACAGTGGTTTAGACTCAAATGTATCTGAAACTCCAATTAAAAGTTTTAGTTTTTTCAAAGGTTTTTCCACATCTGAATAAACTGTAGATGTTTGATCTTATTTAATGAATTGATTTATTATGTTTATAATGAGTGCAAAATCCCTTTTTGTTGTTGTTTGATTGACGTGTTTAGCTATGAAAGGGTATCATTAAAGATAGGAACCCAAAAGAACACTGTTAATAACCTAAATCTCCAGGCATAAAAAAAAGTTAAATTGAAGTAACATGTCATTTATTATTATTATTATTATCAGCTGGCTTGCAGGAGTGCCAGAAGCAAAGTGGATGCAGTTTTGTCAGAATAATAAATGACATTTCACCAGTATATTTAATACTGCCACATCATATGGTCCAGCAGTCACCGTGTTCTTTAGGATAAAAGTTCTGTGTGGACAGTTTTATAGAAGGACTTAATGTCAAACTTTAATAAATGCTTTCCATTTTAATATTACTTGAATTATTTTGCCAATCAATAGTTGCTGTTTTAATGTATTTAATGAGTACATTTACTATCTATAACATGATAAGGTCATTATTTTCATGGGAAGTTGTGAAAACATTTATTTCCCTGAAAAACTAGTATTAAATACAAAAACTGTTACTGACAATGAATTCCAACAAACCTCTGTTGGCCGTTGGCCGTTCTCAGTCCCGTCTCAGTTTGAACCCAGCTGCTGATATTTCAACATGCCGCTTTGGACTCCAAATTCCTAAAATAAAGCAAATACAAAGTTTTACTTCTATGTATTTATATTTTAAAGTTCAACAGTCAGTCATCCATTCTCCTGTGTCTGTGTTTTTCACATGTCAATAGATTGTAATAACTAAGTATTTATTTAATATGATTAGTTAATTAAAAACTGTTTCTTATTATATTATTTGTATATCGTAGTCTGCACATCACACTACATGTACTAAATAAAATACTTTCGCATAACCCCACCCTACCTATTGCATTGAGTTTAATGCACTGAAAATGACATATTGTAAGTCCTCCACCTCCGCTGTCCACTATGTGGCGCTAGAATCTAGATAATACACTTTTAACAAAGAGCATCGTGTAGAACACAAATTGAAATGTAAATCAGATGATGTTCTTTATGCTGACTTTGTGTTGCCAGTCAGTGGCACTATGACTCTGACCTGATGTCGACCTTTGAAAGTCCTCAGACTGGGACTCTCATCTGGCGTTCCAAAAAAGCGCACAAGCTTCGCAGTCTGCCAAGGGGAATATCTTAACATTGAGCTGACTAAATATGAAGGTGATCTAGTTTACCTGCCAAGAGCTGTAAGCCAAAGTCTAGCAACAGTAACTTCCTGCTGTGACACTATGATTAAAGATTTCTGTATAGATGTCTCCAGGGCGGGACTGATTGAAGTTTGACAATGTAGAGGGGTTCTACGCTAACGCACAAATGTAACTATAAAGCTTTCCCCATGATGCTATTAAGACAACATTTTTGAGAGGTCTGAATAATCAACTGTGATAGCACTATGTATATACGTCAATATTAACGTGTAGATGTCTTCATGCCTGGACTCTTATCATCCATGAGAAATCTGGAGCATATTAAAGAATGTTTGCTCTACTAACCGCAACTTCCTGCACTTTTAACCGCCACACCGTGGGGAGGGCGTTCGATGTAGAGTAAAGCTTTTGATATGTTTTGATCCACAAGGTCTTAAGATGGTACCTGCCAAAATGTAACGATAGTTGATTGGATAACATTTGTTCAAATATAGCACGCGAAAGTTTAAAATATGGTCAGAAATTGCACATGAAATTCAAAACGACTGACTTCCTGTTGGGTTAATGATATGACACCCTGGGGCTTCTTTGAACGTTTCCCCATGCTACATATTCCTACCAAATGTCATATCTGTAGGTCAAAGAACAAGGAGGGGCTGATTTGTAGCATCATTTTATGGGCCGCTATAGAGTCTTTTTGCCATCGCGTGAGATCAAGACCCCTTAAATATCCCAGTCCTGACAAGTGTGCCAATCAAATCCAGCTTTTAACCTGTTAAACCCCATGCCGCCGCCGGCGGGGGCAAAACACAACAATATTCACAAAACTGTGCCTCAGGGCTTCTTAACATTTAACAACCTATTACTGTGTCATACCCACTTAACAGGAAGAAACTCAGCTAACTGACGATATGAACAATTTGTACCTAAACAAAACACAACTCTAACACACTAAGCAAAAGAGTGCTAACGCACTTAGCACATATCTCAAGGTAGCAATATTCTATACTTCATGCAATCTGCACATACTTGATATCATATGAAAGCTGAGATTCCACAGATTCCAATGGTATCATGCTCATCACTGTGCAACCAAAGCTCGCCGCAGGGAAAGCCAGCAAAGACAACACACAACTTCACTTTACGGGGCCAAAACGCAAATATGTACCTTTTCTGTTTTCTGATCAAAGGTTGTGTTCAAGGGCATTACAACGCATTTAAACGCTGCTGAAGGTTAATCCAATGTCTCTGTGTCACTTTGAAATGATTACTGATAATCCATCACAACATTTATGGCAATAAACCAAGTTTTCATATAAAGCGTAACATAGCTTTCGGTTTGGGCAAACTGGGTGCGCATCACTCTCACTCCTCAATGGTTATGTTTAGATGGATTTAGGAACCCCCTCGATTCTATTGGCTCTAACGGTTCAAAAGAGATGTTAATCACCAAAATCGACCAATGGGTTCCAGAGATATGGCAAATCCACCCAAATGACCCCAGAGGTGTTTTTTTTGTTGCTAAACCTCTCTAAAAAAGGTCAAATTGCACTTGTTTTGCATCAATCTTGATACAGGGTACTTATTATATGTTATAGTTTGGATTCCTAAAGCTTTTAGTCACTATCCCATCATTCAAGGGTGGTTTTCACTATAAGTCATGTTTATTTTTTTACGGACATTATAATTTCATTTGTTTTACTATGTTCAATCTGAATGTACTTTAAAAGAACAAAAACAGGTTAAGGACACCAAGGCCCTTTAAAATGCAATTTATTATGCTAATAATAATAATAATAATAACTTAAAGGATTTCAATAATCCTATGCTCCTACTTTGTTGGTGCCCGAGCCCTAATAAACTCATTAAACCATATCAAAACTAAAACTTAATCATGCCATTTTGTTTTTACAAAAATTCACTGTCACCTTAACAATGGAATTTAAAAAGTGTGAATGAGTTTTTTAAGCAACTTACCACTCAGGTCTTCTCTGATCGTCATGACAGGGTGAGTTCTGTAGCTGCTACTTATACACCACACACACATGCACACACACACACACACACACACACACACACGCACACGCATGCATGCACACACACACACACACACACACACACACACACACACACACACACACACACACACACACACACACACATGCACTCACACACGCACACAGACAGACACAAACACACACACATACACACACACATGCGCGCACACACACGCATGCATGCACACACACAGACACAAACACACACACACACACACACACACACACACACACACACACACACACACACACACACACACACACACACACATACACACACACACACACACACACACAACACACACACACACACAGACACACACACACACACACACACACACACACACACACACACACACACACACACACACACACACACACACACACACCTATTTCCCAGAAATACCACACCATGAACATGCAAGTTAATCTGCTGGTTTTTTTTTGCACTCATCTCGATAAGATGTTATCGAAAGATTATTTTATCAATTTATTTGTTTTATCAATAATGTCTACCGCAGATGAAGTTCTTTAAAGTAAAAACATTTTCAGTTCAAATTCTTCCTAGTTTGAAAGTTCATATTTTGAACAGAAATGTTTTCTTATGTTGCAAGCTTCCAATGTCCAAAGTTGTCTGAAGCCATTAAATGACACAAAAGAAACACCAAATAAAAAATGGCCATCTTCTTGTGGCTTTTAAGACAAAAGCCCCGAGATACTTTGTTAAGTCTACTTGTTATACACGTTCCGTGCAAATATCACTTACGTAGGTGAAACATACAGTTACGGCTGCTTCTTTAAAGTTATGTATGGGCACCCAACAAATAATTCTTGCACCAAACTAAAATGATCATAACAGTAAACCAAGTGTATCCCTGTTTCAGGGTTTCCGCTAGGATTTTTTCTCGCCGGTCAAATGTCCGGGCAGAATTTATTTTACCGGATACATTTGAAACTTACCGGTCATATTTCAATAATAATAATAAGAATGGTGTAGCAGAGTTTCCGTTAGCAGGTCATTACCGGACTATGAGCAGATATGCTGATGTTTAAAACTCAGTTCACGGGGCTCATTTTTATATTGCTTCAGTTTATAATCGTAACAGATCGAAACAATTCAGATTCATTTTTCAATAAATGATTCCACAAACAACATAATTATTACATTCAAACAAACTACTTGTAGCAGATGAAGTACATTATTCAAAAGTTTACATTAACTTTGAATAATCACACGGGAGAAACGGATCCTCTCTTTTCCCCTCTCCCTCCCTCTCTCTCTGACAGCCCGTCAGTTTCTCATGCAGCTAAACAGAGGCGGGGCTTCAGGTGATTATGCAGAGCTGCGTGTCTCTGTCAGACTCAGCAGCTGATCTGATCTCTCTCGCGTCCGGTTATACTTCACTCGCGTTTATGTCCATATCGATCAGATCCAGCTCTCCTGATCGGGCTTTATAGAGAGCACCGATCAAACTATTAACAGTGAATATCGGCCGATAATGACCGGTGGCCGATCTATCGGAGCATCCCTAATTATTACCAGACATTTTGACCGGCAGGTTTTTAATTTACCGGTTTTTAATACATTTTACCAGGTAAAAACCGGTAATTACCGGCTAACGGAAACCCTGCCCTGTTTATGTATTTGCCAACAATTCTTAAGCCTTTAAATAAGTATTTCCTGTTAGCGGCAAACACAGCGTTCCACAGAAGAGCGCAAGCTTAGCAATTTAAAAAATGTGAGTGAAACTCAGGGCTCAAATGGCAGGTTGGCTGGAGTACAAGGAAAACAGAAGGCCTGGAAAACCGAAAGGGTAAGAATTCACTTCTTCAGGTCACGAGATCCCAAGGTTGTCACGCACACCCAAGGTTGTCACGCACACCCAAGGTTCTTTTACATATGCTTTATCAATAACTTCTACAAGCAGATGATGTTCTTTAAAATCACAACATTTTCAGTTCAAAATGCTCCTTGTTTGAGAGTTTGCATAATCAATGTTACTCCTCACCTTAATATAGCACAAGATCATATTTTGAGCAGAAATGTTGTCTTATGTTGCAAGCTGGTAGACCTTTGTCCAACATTTTCTGAAGCCACTTAAGATTGATTTCAAATCCTAAAAATGGCACACAAAAAAAAAGAAACACACTAAATGAAAAATGGCCATCTCCTTGTGGGTTTTAAGACAAAAGTCTACTTTGTGCACGTTTCGTGCAAATATCATGCATGTAGGTTAAACGTACAGTTACGGCTGCTTCTTTAAAGTTATGTGAGGGCCACAAAAGAAAAAGATCTTGCACCAAACTAAAATGATCAGATCAGTAAACTACGTTTATCACTGTTAATGCGTACGCCAAGCATTCTGAGGCCTTTAAAGAAGTATTTCCTGTTAGTGGAGAACACAGCGTTCCACAGAAGAGCACAAGCTTTGCAATTTAAAAAATGTGAGTGAAACTCAGGGCTCACATGGCAGGTTGGCTGGAGTACAAGGAAAACAGCTGCCAAGCCATTTTTGCTAATCCCAATGTGCCTGAACTCTATTTCCTGTTAATGGCAAACAAAGCGTTCCACAGAAGAGCACAAGCTTTGCAGTCTGCCAAGGTGTCTATCTTAACATTGATTTAACCAAATATGAAGGAGATCTGGTTTATCTGCCAAGAGCTGTGGACTAAAGTGTATCAACATTAACTTCCTGCCAGGATTCTAATCAAGCATGACATCTGTGGCATTTTTGAGACTGTACAGTCAAGTAACGACTTTGTGTGACATGGCCAGTGTCTCTGGCTGCAAGAGTACGGCAAGTAAGTATGTGTTGTGCAAATACAGTATCTTTCATCTCGGTATACTATACAGTGAGGGATTCTTTATTATTAATTAGTTTTAGCATGTGTGTGCATCCCTAAGCCCTAAAACATAACTTCCTGTTTCATGGCCAATCATGCGTAGCTGGATGAACACCGTTCCACGAACGCTCGGAAGCTATGCAGGGTGGCAAGGTGAAGGAAGGTGATCTGGGTAACCTGCTGAGAGCTGTAAGTAAAAGTATAGCAGGAGTAGCTTCATGTGGCCACTAGATGGTGCTAAGACTATGATTCAAAATCAGCCGGTTGATGTCTTCAGGGCGGGACCCTTGCCAAAAGTGTGAAGTTTATTATTTAATCTTACTTCCCGTTTCTCCTAGAATTCTGGTGAACATAATTATAACAATCATTTGAAAAACTATTAAAGCTGCACGCAGCGTTGAATGGGCCGTAGCCTCCCGTGCTATTCGGCCGGCTGGCCAGTCTAGACGTCATGTGTCCATATGACACCAAGATGCTTTTTCTGTGCGTTTCAACATAGTACCTATGCCTACCAAATTTCATAGCTTTCAATTACCGTTTTTTAAAGCATTTCAGGAGTTGGGCGAATTAATGCATATTCATAAATAATTCAATATGAAAAAAAAACTCTGGGATCGAATAAAAGAAATGCTTTAAAAATAAACAATACAAAACATTTTTTGAGTGAAACTCGCCCTGAGTTTATTGCACATGGCAGGTTGGAAGCAGTACGGGAAAAAGGCTTTGAAAAACAAAATTAAAATAATTAACTTCTTCAGGTCAAGAGAAAAGCCCCAAGAGGCATTTTTTAAGTCTACTTGTTAAACACATTTTGGGTGAATATCATGCACGTAATCATAACAGTAAACATAGTTTATCCCTGTTAATGCGTACGCCAAGCATTCTTAGGCCTTTAACCAGTTTAGCCCTGAGCCTGTTTTTCAGGTCTGAGGCTCGAAAATGACATTCCCAGAACAAATGACCATATCTTCCCTTCTAAAAGGGTTACATTAATAATCTTTTTTCTCAAAGTAATGATAAACCTGTGAGTTGGATGTAGAAAAGTCAGAATCAATATAGATGTTTTTTATTTTTAAGAAAATTCAGATTGAACATAGTAAAAAACTGTAAATTATAGTGTTCGTCCAAAGATTCTTTTTTACTTACAGTGAAAACTAACCTTGGATGATGGTAAGGTAGACTAAAAGCTTTAGGAATCCAAAGTACAACATATAATAAGTACCCTGTATGAAGATTGATGCAAAACAAGTTAAATCTGACCTTTTTAGAGAGATTTAGCTAAAAAAACACTTCTGGGGTCATTTGGGTGGATTTTCCATATCTCTGGAATCCATTGGTCGATTTTGTTGATTGGCATCTCTTTCTGACCGTTAGAGCCAATAGAATTGAAGGGGGATTTCCCCACTCACACACATGGTAAAACAAAAAGGTGGGGGCTTCACGCACATAGTTTTGCATGAGAGCAAACCTATCTCTCGCTCTGACATCTTGAAACGGAAAAGCAGGTTTATTGCTCATGGATTATCAGAAATAATTTCAAAGTATCACAGACACATTGGATTAACCTATGGATTAACTTCAGCAGCGTTTTTATCGTATTAATGCCATTGAAGACCACTTTTGACCAAACTACGACACAGGTGAGCCATGTTAGCGTTTTTAGCTACCTAGCGCCACATGTTTTGATGTCTGTTTTTGTTTATAAAGTCGCAAGTTCCTATCATTGAGTGATAATGTCTGTACCCATCGATTCAGTGTCATCTCACGATCAGATCGATGGGTTGGATGTGCAGAATGGATAAATAATAAGGTTTTATGAGCAGTGGCGTTTTCTCCCGGAGGCCAAGGGAAGCCAGGCTTCCCCTGTTTTTGTAGTTATAATTTAAATAAATAAATAAAAATACTTTTGTTTTGTTTCGATAACTCTCCTTTGCTGTGTGTTGCCGTCGGCCCGTCTCTCCCCCATTCTCATTGAGTATTTTACAAAGAGTGAAACAAACAGCGCCCCTCTAGATGTTATGGTGAATCAGTAGATTGCACTCTCTGCTGCGAGAGGAGGCCAGCCGAATCTGGTTTCCCTTGGTGAAAAAAAATGGAGGGATTGACCAATCAGACAAGGCTCACGTCATGCCCCTGCCAACCTGTGATTGGTCAGGGCCATGCCAAGGGAAGCCAGAGGCGGCTGGCTTCCCTCACAATCCAATGAAATCGCATCAACTGAGTGTGGCAGTGACGCATTCGAAAACCCAGAAGTAAGCTGCGCTCGGTTTCCCTCGACAAAAAAGCAATGGGAGTTCTCCATAGGATTTAGGAAAATAGCTCGAAATAAGGTCAGTGGAAAACGAACCTGTTAGATAAATGCAAGTTTTGTTCAGTCGGATAATATCCACATGTCTACCCTACTTTTATCATTTTCTGAAAAAAAAAAAAAAAAAAGTGAGTGAAACTCAGGGCTCAAATGGCAGGTTGGCTGGAGTACAAGGAAAACAAAAGGCCTGGAAAAACAAAAGTGTAAGAGTTCACTTCTTCAGGTCACGCACACTCAAGGTTCTTTTACATATTCTTTATCAATAACTTCTACCAGCAGATGATGTTCTTTAAAATCACAACATTTTTAGTTCAAAATGCTCCTTGTTTGAGAGTTTGCATAATCAATCAATCAATCAATCAATGTTTATTTATATAGCCAAATATCACAAATGTTACATTTGTCTCAGTGGACTTCACAGTTTGTACAGAATATCAGTATGACAATACGACACCCTCTGTCCTTAGACCCTCGGTCCTCAGACTCTCTGTCCTCAGACCCTCTGTCCTCATACCCTCTGTCCTCAGACCCTCTGTCCTCAGACCCTCTGTCCTTAGACCCTCTGTCCATAGACCCTCTGTCCTTAGACCCTCTGTCCATAGACCCTCTGTCCTTAGACCCTCTGTCCATAGACCCTCTGTCCTTAGACCCTTTGTCCATAGACCCTCTGTCCTTAGACCCTCTGTCCTTAGACCCTCTGTCCTTAGACCCTCTGTCCATAGACCCTCTGTCCTTAGACCCTCTGTCCATAGACCCTCTGTCCTTATACCCTCTGTCCTTATACCCTCTGTCCTTAGACCCTCTGTCCTTAGACCCTCACATCGTACAAGGAAACACTTCCAGAGAAACCCCATAACAAATGTTACTCCTCACCTTAATATAGCACAAGATCATATTTTGAGCAGAAATGTTGTCTTATGTTGCAAGCTGGTAGACCTTTGTCCAAAATGGTCTGAAGCCACTTAAGATTGATTTCAAATCCTAAAAAGGGCAAACAACACACAAAAGAAACACACTAAATGAAAAATGGCCATCTCCTTGTGGCTTTTAAGACAAAAGCCCCGAGATACTTTGTTAAGTCTACTTGGTATACACGTTCCGTGCAAATATCACTTACGTAGGTGAAACATACAGTTACGGCTGCTTCTTTAAAGTTATGTATGGGCACCCAAAAAATAATTCTTGCACCAAACTAAAATGATCATAACAGTAAACCAAGTTTATCCCTGTTTATGTATTTGCCAACAATTCTTAAGCCTTTAAATAAGTATTTCCTGTTAGCGGCAAACACAGCGTTCCACAGAAGAGCGCAAGCTTAGCAATTTAAAAAATGTGAGTGAAACTCAGGGCTCAAATGGCAGGTTGGCTGGAGTACAAGGAAAACAGAAGGCCTGGAAAACCGAAAGGGTAATAATTCACTTCTTCAGGTCACGAGATCCCAAGGTTGTCACGCACACCCAAGGTTGTCACGCACACCCAAGGTTGTCACGCACACCCAAGGTTGTCACGCACACCCAAGGTTGTCACTCACACCCAAGGTTGTCACGCACACCCAAGGTTGACACGCACACCCAAGGTTGTCACGCACACCCAAGGTTGTCACTCACACCCAAGGTTGACACGCACACCCAAGGTTCTTTTACATATGCTTTATCAATAACTTCTACAAGCAGATGAAGTTCTTTAAAATCACAACATTTTCAGTTCAAAATGCTCCTTGTTTGAGAGTTTGCATAACAAATGTTACTAAACTTTAGTTTAGTTTTTTAGTAATACAAATGTTGGCGATATCAATCAGGTCATCTGCTCCGACTTTGAGACCTAGAGTCTTTGGATACAAGGTTTCAAAAATGTACAATCTTGTAAAATATTGACAAAGTTTTATTTTTATTTGAACTGTCTTCTACTAAAAACATTTCATTTTTTAAAATCCTGTAACATTTATCCTGCGTTTTTGACATTTATCCTATCACAAACGCATACGGACGGTGTGGACGTGTTGCAATATTCTGCAGGTAATTTCTTGGAAATCATCCAGGTTCTCCTCAGTTCCGCCTCCTGCTAATGAATAAAGATCTGGGGGCGTTTCTCTCTCAGAGACAATATAACCGGTGAAACTGCAGCACTGCCTCAGAGGATCACACACATCTCTAGGTAAGTACACCTAATGCTGTTTGTTAATGAGCTGATGCATGCCGTTTATCTTTACCGTGAAATCATGAGTTCTGCAGCTTCTTGTTTATAACAAATAACTTTTTATCCAAAGACTGTAAATATGATTTAAACTGAAGTAATGCTGTGTGCAACTGCACATCCTTCAAGAACTCAATTTCAGCAGGGTATGTACATACATTACAATAATATCATTTATTAAACAACATTTAAAAATGTTTTGAAATGGCTTCTTTTGCATTTTGATTATTATATATAAAGCATTTAACTACTGAAATGTATTACGTGCTAAAATATCTCAACAATTGTGATGCATAAATTCAGGCATTAGACCTTTAATCGGATGTTTAAAGAGAACAGTTGCACTTTAAATTGAGAATTCACTTTTTTTTCTGAGATGGGGACTAACACATAGTCGATTTAAATACTATTTGTGGTTTTAGAAGCTTTAGTTCAGTGGTTTATTTTGCTGATCTAGAAATCAGGATATTGCTGGTTCAATCCCGCTATCACACTCACTGCAGTCAACATGTCGAAGTATCCTTGGGCTGGATCCCTCACCCCAAATTACTCTGTACTGTAGGTAGCGTAAGTAATAAAAAGCGTTAGCCAAAAACCATGTTATGTAATACCTGGAGTTTGTGAAGTCAAAGCTTTTTCAAATTATCCTTGCACCTACATGTGACGTGTATAAATGTGCTCCTTCTAATTCAGACATCCGTGTCCCCTCCAACTGGGATAACCTTTTTGTTTTCCATGCAATTAAATTGTCTTTGCTTTTAAGGACCTAAACAAATGAGGAATTCATTATATTTCCTTGGCAGATGCTATCAAAGAAGATAAACTATCCATTTCTAAAGAGATTTTAACCCTTAGTTCTTAGATATTTCTGTAAATAAATGTATTTCAGTAAGACATTTATTATTTTATTTTTTAACACTTTAGTTATTGTTTTTTCCCACACATAACACAATAACAGGAGAGAATACAGAGTATAATTGCAGGTGCTATATAAAAAAGAAATACAAAAAAGATGACAAAACAATTATGACAACAATAACTAGAAAATGTATTTCCTGCAGAAAATGTGTGTGAATGCTGAACATTTGTGACTGAATTTAGCTGAAAATTCAGAAAAAGAGTGTGTCTGTGTGTGAGAGAGAGTGTATGTGTGTGTCTGTGTGTGTGAGAGAGAGAGTATGTGTGTGTCTGTGTGTGTGTGTGTGTGTGTGTGTGTGTGTGTGTGTGTGTGTGTGTGTGTGTGTGTGTGTGTGTGTGTGTGTGTGTGTGTGTGTGTGTGTGTGTGTGTGTGTGTGGCTCCAATCTGCCCAGCAACACCATGACAACCATCTGCAGCACTGAGTCCCATAAGAATGCATTGAGGATTATATCTGACAATTTTGCCACCTGTTCAAAAACTATGGCTCCTATAAAAAAAAAGAGCAGACCGTGAGCATCAGGGAACCCCAATGAACTGAAATATGTTGTTTTTTTTGGGTTTTGTGTGTAAAATGTGGAGATGGGAGCAGTTTGTCTAAAGTGTACTTCTCTCTGCTCTGAAGAAAGATCCAGAACAATTTAACATGGGAATCCATTGGGAGCTAGCTGGACTTTTTCTCTCTTCATGCCCTCAAGAGGCATTTTGTTGAATTTTTTTTCTTAATTTGTTTTTATTTTCCAACCTAGGGGGAGTGTAGGGTTTGGGAATTATGGCAAGTTTAAAACATTTTTGGGGGAGAATTTCAAGCACTGCTGCACTCTGTTTTGAGATCAAAGCACTCTAGAGTTAACGAGCTGCTCCATCAACTCAAATGTTAAAATCTGAAAAAGGGCTCTCTGCTAAGCTCCAAACTAAGTTCAATATCTCAAAAAGTTTAAAAGATATCAAAAATCTGAATAGGAATTGCTGAAGGTCTTGTGATCATTTGAAAGTTGGAATGAAGTGTCTGGCTGAAAGTATGTGGAAGGAGTAGCATTTGGAGCAAGGTGTAGGAAAACAGGATTTGAAGGCATCTCCCATTGACTTCAATGTTAAAAAAATAGTTTAAAAAGCTGAATATTTCAAAAAGTATGAAATATTTTGAAAAAGTTGAAAGTTTCCCATAAATTGCTGAAAAGGCTGAATAGTTTAATATTTGAATGGTTTCTGTAGTTGAAGGGGTTCTGCACTCTTCCATAATAGAGCAATACATTTGTGGCCAGCAATCATGGCCAGTTTGATTAGGCACACTTCATTGCTTTTGTGTGAAGGGATGTCAGAAATGTCACCTAACAGGGCTAAATTGGGTGTACAAGGAATCTCAAACCCAGAAATCTCTTTAAGAATCTCCCATATTGACCCCCAGTAGTGCTTTCATTTATCACAATCCCAGAAAATGTGAATTAGGCTGTCTGTCTCTGTAGTACTTCTAGAGCAAAGATCTGAAATAGATTAATTCATCCTATGAAGTATTTTTGGTGTAAAGTAGGTTCTGTGAATAATGTTAAACTGCAAAAGTTTATGTTGGCTGTTGAATGAGAAAGGGAGGGTCTCCTCACATAATGACTCCCATTTGAAGTCTCCAAATGTACAACTCAGGTCTTGCTCCCACTTGGTCCTATAATTCAGGGGTTTAACCTCTGTAAAGGCCATAATGCGGTTATATGTCAAGGAAAGTATACCTCGGGTGTTTAACTCCTTTTAGAACATTGTCAATTAGGAGAGACTTTAAGGGAGTGGAGTTTCCCCCATGAAGTGTGCTTAAAAAGGGTCTGACTTGCAAATATTTGAAGAAATTAGTAGTTGGGAGGCTGAAGGAATTACACAGCTGTCCAAAGGTCATAAGTAAGTTATTCTCGTAGAGGTCCCCAAATGTTTTGATTCCCTGGGTGTGCCACATCTTGGTTATCCCATCTCTAAGTGCACATGGCAAAGCAGGGTTGGTATGGAAGGGAGTATTGCAGTGTAGTACAATAACACTATTGAGATGTTTCTGTATATCAGACCATATTCTAGCTGTTTGATTCATAATAGGATTATCAGTACCATTCTTCAGAGTATGGAACGACCGAATAAAAGGGATGCCAGCCAGCGGCACGTCTAATGATTGGCACTGCTCTAAATGTTTCCAAGCAGGAGGGTTAGCTAGTTCTGTCTGCCAGATCCATAATGTCCTGCACTGAGCAGCCCAATAACAACGCTGAACATATGGAAGCTTTTAATCCTCCATGCTGGTATGTGTTGTAAAGAGTTCTGATCTTAATTCTAGGAACCCTTTTCTTCCAGATAAATGCAGATATCATTCTCTCCAATTTCTTGAAAAAATTATTATGTACAAATGTGGGAAGGGTTTGAAATAAGTAAAGGAATTTAGACAGTCATCTTAATGCAATTCACACGACCAATCAGGGAGATGGGCAACTGCATCCATCTGTCCAGGGCCCCGTCTCAGGTCGACTATTTTCATTTCCTCGCTCCTCGGTCCTCGGTCTCACCGGAAGTTGATTTGTCTGCGCCATCTTGAGTACCGTCCCATGGATCTTATTTCTGCCGGAGGAGCGAGGATCGAGGAGCGAGGAGCGATAACCGAGGAACCACCAGACCATCCTCCGATGAAATCCTCAGACACTCGCCCCGCCCCCTTACAGTGTATCGCTCACTGATTGGACGAGGCAGTGCATGCACTGATCTGATGCTTCTTGACATGAGAGCAGAGTGAAGAAAACACATGAACCTCACGGGACTCACTCCTCAGTTTATACCGTGTTTTGTTTCAATTCATGTTTCATTTAGTTACAAATATGTGATATATCTGAACAACAAAGTGGTCAAAAATCATTTTATTCATTTGTTGGAAACATTTTCATGATCGCTTTTTTCGTTTTACATTTTCATTTATTGTCATTTCCATTCAGTCATTAAGTGCTATTGAAATGTTAATGTGCTACATATCCACACAAACACACAAAGTGTGCAATCCAATGAATGTTCATCTAACTGGGTTTTGATAGATAACATATCTCTCTTTCTTCTCTCAATTATTTTATTTCTATTGTGCACTCTAATCAATATTAATCCAACTATTGTTCGTTTAAATACATTTTAAGAATGGCGTTTATCTTTTTTGAGAATTAGTTCTTATTTTATTTATTTGGGTCTACAACAGATGATACAAATGTGTGTGTCAGTAAATGTGTACTAACAGAGGCGGAGGGGTGTTTGTGGAAACAACGGGGACAGAGCTGCTGTCAGACGATCAGCTGTGCAGCGTCATCACAAACGGACGTCGCTTCACGTGACGCTACGGAGGAAAGGACGTCCCATTGCTCTTAAAACTCATTTCCCTGCTTCTCGTGTTTCCTTGCGTCTCTCCATGCTTCCCTGGTGGGAGGGACTAGTCGCAGGGAAACGACGCAAGTGAGGGACGCAAGGATTTCGTTTAACCGACCTGAGACGGGGCCCAGGTCCCTCGCTACCTCCTTAAGCAATACGTCGTAATTTAGTGAAAAAATGTTGTCTAATCTTTAGATCTAAGTATTTTACAAATTGAGTTTTCCACTATTAATGGAGTGATTAAACATGTCTAAAAGAGTGTCTATTAGTTTATTAGTAAATGTTTTGAAAAAATCTATTTGAAAAACCATCAGGTCCTGGGGCTTTCCCTGAAGATAAGCATGCTATAATACCTCCTGTTTGGTTATCTTTCTGTCAAGATCCTCCTTTGTTGCTTCCAATAATATAGGGATACTGAGACTGTCCAAAAATGAGAAGGCTTGGTTTATAAGCGAGGGTCCTCATGTAATCGGTGAGCTCTATGAAGAGAAGGCTGTAAACGCTGCCGTGATTAAACGCCATATCATGTTCCAAACCACATCAACATTATTTCTGAAACAGTATGGAGCTCAAACGCTTTCTCTCTTGCGGGTTTAACACAAGGACATTACGTTACATATATTCTCTCCAGTAAAGGTTAGCTCTGAGTGTTAGCGATGCTTGCTAATGTAAACACAGACCATATTACTCCCAAAACACGTCCCGCATTGTTTCTGATACAGCACATAGCTTGACATGTTCTTTATTCAGTGTTTACCGCTAGAACAGTGCCATTATATGTATTTTATAACAACTTTACTCTAAGTCACTTTCGTAGACATCCTGCTGAATACACAGACACACAGCTGCGGGAGGGGATTCAGCTAGACGACTGTATACGGGGGACGATAGGGCCGTGAGTGGAATGTTGCCAGGAGTTCAATGTAAATGCAGCCCACATTCGAGTAATGCGTCATGACGCAGCAAATCTGGATAAGCTCTGTTGTACTCCTGTTTGTAGGGATTTGGGTAAGGGGAAAAGAGAGAGGGTTTTATTTTCACTTTGTGCGTCTCCTTACACACCGGGGACACATTTATGTATAAAATACATCATAAAGTGCACTTTGCATAATAGGTGACCTTTAAAGCTTTACTTACTATCAATATTTGTATAAACAAAATGTATTAGCTGTCTGTAATGTGAGAGAGCTCGCTCACATGGACAAACAAAAAGAGATGTATTACTAGCTCTCGCAGTGTTTTGGGTATAAAACTCATTGCTCTGTGTCTCCTGTATTAATAAACACTTTGCTCACTTTTTGTTGTTAAGTTGATAATATATCAATGCTTTGCAAACAGCTTGTTCTGATGAAAAACTATAATTATTTAACATTAATTTAAACTTTTTATAATATAAGTGCTTTATTTTTTAAATGATGGGATGCATACATTAACCAGACAAATCAATTTAGTTTCTTTAAAACCACACTGACGTACAATTGATAACAAAATGTTTAATTTGTTGCATGTAGTAATTGGTTTGTTTCAGGATATTTTTAAACAAAAGGCTATCAAACAGTCTTTAAAATGGAAAACATTAAACTAATAACATTTGCATTCTAAGGTTTCAACCAAAAACAATATATTGTATTTAATGTTCGCCTTCAGAGGAGCAAACATAAAAAAACTGAGGTAAGTTCACTAAACATATGTTCTGTTTCTCTAGACAAGACTAAGAGATGGATTCTGAAGTCAACACAAAAATAAAAGTGGCAGCACTCGGCCGGCGATTCAGCCTAGGGATGCTGTACGACTGCCGCCAGGATTCCCTGGTCCCTGGTAAGAATCCATTATAGTTATTAAATGCATTTGAACAACAAAAAATGTGCAAAACGTATAATCTAAATATCTGTTATAAATCATATCTTCTCCTTTTCAGATTAATATATTTGATGCATGGTCCTTGTTTAAAAAGACAAAATACTAGGTTTTTACATGGGTACAAGCCTTATCAGGTTGTGGTCTGATCCAGTATATATGGCTCAATAAAGCTGTGACTCTCGAGTTTTAAAAAAAACATAGGTGTTCCTATTTTTTGAGAAAATATGAGTTAAAGGCTGCTCTGGCAATACGGAGAGACACACTTTTGTTTTATTGTCTTATTTTTAGAGAGGCAATTCAAATGAAAATTAGAGTAAGCCTCCAATTAAATGCCTATGAAATGACTCAAGCACAATTTTGCCACAGCACTATCAGATAGACACCTCATGACGTGTGAATAACTATCATTTTTAATTACTAACCTTTTAAAATTAAACTTAATTTAAACTTTATTTTGTGTTAAAAAAAATGAAGCCTTACTATCCTGCAATAAAAGGTAGTTGGATGTCTTCCTTTCTTTTTTACAGATGTGAAACTGTGGGACTGTGATGACCTGGAAAAATATACAAGAAAAAGACCAAAACCTAGCAGTGACTTTGAGATGGTTGCATCTGAATCATTTAAGGATAAATCTTCAGCACTAAATGTTGAAGCATCTCTGAAGGCGAGTTTCTTGGGTGGACTGGTAGAGGTTGGAGGATCAGCCAAATACCTGAACGATGGCAAGACTTCCAAAAATCATGCTAGAGTAACTCTGAAGTACCAAGCTACCACAACGCTCAAAGAACTGTCCATGAATCATCTTGGGGATGTTAAGAAACATCAGTTTGTGTTTGATCAAGGAATAGCAACACATGTAGTCACAGGTATCCTTTATGGCGCTCAAGCCTTCTTTGTCTTTGACCGTGAGGTGTCTGTCAACGAGAACCATCGAGACATTCAGGGCAACTTGAAGGTGATGATCAAGAACATTCCCTGCCTGTCAATAGAGGGTGAAGGCTCGCTGAAAATCGAAGACAAGGACAAAGCAAATGATGAGAAACTGTCCTGCAGATTCTATGGAGACTTTTTCGTTCCGAAACCTCCTACAACCTTTCAGGAGGCAGTAGAGGTGTACCAAAGTCTGCCAAAGCTGCTGGGAGCCAACGGGGAATACGCAGTACCAGTGAAGGTCTGGCTGTTGCCTCTGACATGTTTAGATTCTACTGCCGCTAAACTTGTCCGTCAGATAAGTATAGGATTAGTTGAAGAATGTCAGAGTGTCCTGGAGGACTTCAGTGACCTGGAAATGAGGTTCAACGATGCACTGAGAACCAAAACTGCACAGCAGTTCCCACAGATTGGAGAAAAACTCAAAACCTTCAAACAGAAGTGCTCTCAGTTCAAACTGGAATTCCAACAAACCCTGGCAAATAAACTTCCATCAATCCGAGGAGGAGGAGAAGAAGAAGCTGTGCTCGCAGAGGAACTGAGGAAGACATGTTCTTCTCCTTTCAACAGCAAGGACCTGAACGAGTGGATGGACTGTAAGGAGAGAGAAATCAACAAGATTGTTATCTTAGAAAATGATCTTCAGAAAGCAAAGCAGGCTTTGCTTTCTGACTTCACCTCGCAGGGAAATTATGAACCGTACCTCTCAGCTTTTCCCAGATTTGGAGGTGAGGACATCACCTCTGTTGAGTCCTGTGTCAGAGGAGAGAACGGCTGGAAACAAGAGACAGCATCCAGAGCTGAAGAAGTCCCAGTGAGCGGCCTGAGTCCTATCACAGAGTTCAGGTCCAGATGCAGGGCAGAGACACCAGTAGGTGCCGGGCCAGCCAATGAAGTCGTCTCACCTGCACGTCTTGCAGAATCCCTCAAAAGTAAAAGCAAGAGGATCAACTCTGAATCTCCCTCAGTTTACAAACTGCCTCTGACAGAAGAAGATCTGAACATCGAAGGATGCCGGAGGTACAACTTTGGCAAAGAAAGTATGATGTCAAATCTCGCAATAATGCTTGTTGGAGCAACTGGATCTGGAAAGTCCACTCTGATCAATGGACTCATCAACTACATCGTTGGTGTAGAGTGGGAGGACGATTTCAGATTCAAGTTAGTTGTCGAGGATCAGTCGAGATCTCAAGCTGAGAGCCAGACCTCTGAAGTCACTGTGTACAACATCAACCACCAAGAGGGCTTTAAAACCCCTTTCTCTCTGACCATCATTGATACTCCAGGCTTTGGAGGTACGAGAGGAATAAAAAGAGACAAGGAGATCACAGAACAAATCAGGAGGCTTTTTACTTCTGTGAATGGAGTCAGTGAGATTGATGCGGTGTGTGTTGTCACCCAGGCCTCTCTTGCCCGACTAACAGCCACACAACGATATGTGTTTGAGTCTGTGCTCTCCATCTTTGGCAAAGACGTGGCAGAGAATATCCAGATGCTGGTCACCTTTGCAGATGGCAAGCAGCCACCTGTTCTTGAGACAATAAAGAAGTCTGGGATTCCATGTCCAAAAGATTACCTAGGTCTTCCAGTTCACTTCACATTCAACAACTCAGCGTTGTTTGCAGACAACAGAAGCAGCAGTGATCGGGCCTGTGAGGAGAATTCTGATGAGGAAGATGAGGATGATGATGACTTTGACGAAATGTTTTGGAAGATGGGCATCAAAAGTATGGAGAAGTTCTTCAATGCTTTGGCTAAAATGACAACCAAAAGCTTTCTCATCAGGGACTATGTAAAAGTATAAAAAGATAAGCATACACTGGAAGAGCTTAAAGGTCCCATGTCCTGCTTTTCCGGTTCTTACCCGTCCCCTTGTGTGTTATGTAGCTTTTTCTGCATGTAAACGGTCTGCAGTCACAAACCCTGTAGCGAGAAAAACTCTAACACAGAATATACCTGTCTATGCTGCCCCAGAACGCCTCGTTGGACATTTTTTTTTGACTTTTTTTTCTTCCGGGAACCAAGTGACGTAACGACGACCCCATGGTCCGTGGAGCTCCTCACACACCAGGATCCCTTGGCGTCACTATCAAACGCAGTGGGGGACCTTTAGCGTACATTTTCAACTATCAGGGAGTCCCATTGACTTCCATAGAGCTCCCTGAACATTGGTAATAGACGAGTTGTGATGGCGGATACATTCTCTCTGCAGACCCATTCTCACAGCGTTATAAACCTTTTTCTTTCTCAATATCAAGCCACACTTATTGTTTTTACTTCGGCTGTGAGTGTGCTCAGGATGAGTTCAGGATGAGTTTCGCGCCGTCTCGCTGTCTTGCTGTCTCGCAGACCCCACGCAGCAACCAGGAAAACGACACCAGTAACCCAGCTCACACTGTCCGCTCCTCGAGCCTCAAAGGGCGGAGCAGCGAGCCCCCCAACCTCCCCCCAACACGGCCCCAGACCCCACGCAATCAGAGCACAGTGGGCTCATAGGGAGGGGGGGGGGGGGGGCAGGAGCTCCAACAAGCCGTGTAGGACAGAGAGTGAATACACAGACTATACAGAGATGCTGTTTGAGAAACCATTGTGAGTTTAGAACAATGTGAATCTATTCTAGTCGACCTCAACAATGGAATTATGATCAGTAGTGTAAGAGAATATTTTAATCTGATCTTCACAAGTAGAAATGACCATGGGACCTTTAAAGTCAAGAACAATAAAGCTGCGAAAGAAAAAATGAGTGTTCAGGAGTTGATTGAGAGTCGAGAGGAGGAGATCGATCACCTCCAAGAGATGATAGTGTCCCTCATGGATCAGTCATCTCACTCTTTAACTCGTCTGCAAGAGATCGCCCTGAGCCCTAACCCTCTGACCACTCCAGATTACATTGACATGCTGATTGAAGGAGAAAAGGCTGAGGCCAAAGTGACAATAACAATGTATATGTCCAGTTGAGCAGTATGACAATTAGTACATTACATTTAGCGTGCACATATTTTATTGTTACGATGCTAACATGCCAACATTTAGCTAATTGTCATGCAAAAGATAGCATTACATGTTATCATACAAAAATGATATCTTACACTTCCAGAACATTTGACCAGCTGTAAATAATTTCATTTAGAATTGGCACCAAATGTATTCATTCAACTTTTTTTAATTGGCCAAAAACATCACTGACCACTGTTTTTTATTTGACATAAAATGTCAGTGATTGACCTCTGTCCACTAGAGCATTGGTGCGAATAATTATTGCAGCACACATGAATCTTCGTGTAGTAATACTTTATTACATACTTAAGATTGACGTTTATACAAATGCTTTTTGTGTTTATTTTGTCTTGAAAAACATGCGATAACAAAATAACAGTTTATTAATTATTAAATTAGTATACTTATTCTTTATAGGATCCCATAGCACTAGCATGAGCATTCTTCCCGGGGTCCAAACACACAGTCAAACAAGCAGCTCATCATTTTATGCCATTTCCAATTGAACATGAAGTGAAAACGAAAAAAACATCATCCTATTTCAACCATCATTAAGCCAAACATAGTTGTACATACCCAAACAAAGTTTAATTATACTTTATGATAGGGAGATTTTTTTTAGCAAACTTTTGAAATGTACTTAGTAATTTTCCTGAATGCGATGGAATGGCAATGAATACCAGCTCTTATATATGAATGTTTTATGTTTGATTAAGTTTTTAATAACATGTACCTTCCTTCTGTTGCATGTCGTGTTTGATAGTTATGTTGAGCAAAATCCATGATGCGTTCTGTATTCATCTTTTTTTGATTCCCTTTTCTTCTGTTTTAATTACTGTTTTAATTACAAAAAAGGACAAGTTGATAATTGAAAAATGCTAATAAAATACCAATATGTTTTGGTGTTACTGGAAACCGTACTTAATTATTTTAATATGATGTAATTGAGTTGTGACAATAAAGTGATTTTGTTGGATATGTGTTGTTCTCTTTCAGTCTCATCAGCTATATTTGTTATTCTTTAGCTCCTCTCCTAAATCATCCATATTTTTGCAATTAAACATCTTTTTCTAAAGTCATTTTTAAGTTTCACATTATTTTAAGTTTCACTTACATGTAACAACGTTTTTATTTTCCATATCAGTGAGCAAACAAAGTGTTTTTTAGTTATTAGACAATTTAGAGAATGGCGATGTTTGTTCTGATTCTTTAAACATTATAAATACATATATTTGTTGTTACTAAAGTAATTGACAAGGATAAATAATATATAAAACATGTGTTTTGCATTATAAAGGTTGAGTTAAGAAATATAAAATCATCAGAGTTGCTGAAAGCAGTCAGAGTTTATTTGTCTTTAGACGAGATGGTTTAAGTAATAGTTATTTCAAAAAGTAATGGGAGTATTTTTGATTGATAAGAACTAGGGGAAAAAATAAAGTATTGATTGATTGTGTCTTCCTGTCCATCATTGCCAAAGGCAAAGACCAATGATCAATGACAGAAAATAAACTTCAATAAACAGAACAATTGTCCCCTTCTGAGGTGCCTGGCATTGGCGCTGTGTCATCTACAGGGTTACCAGTATTAGTATACAGGAAGTCATGATAATAACCATTTGTATTTGATAAGAGGAATATGAGGGGGCCTGGGAATACGCTTATCCGGTCTACATGTGTTTTGTAGACTTGGAGAAGGCGTATGACCGAGTTCCCAGGGAGTTACTGTGGGAGGTGCTGCGGGAGTATGGGGTGAGGGGGTCTCTACTCAGGGCCATCCAATCTCTGTACTCCCAAAGCGAGAGCTGTGTCCGGGTCCTCGGCAGTAAGTCGGACCCATTTCCGGTGAGGGTTGGCCTCCGCCAGGGCTGCGCTTTGTCACCAATCCTGTTTGTAATATACATGGATCGGATTTCGAGGCGTAGTCATGGGGGAGGGGGTCTGCAGTTCGGTGGACTAAGGATTGCACCACTGCTTTTTGCAGATGATGTGGTTCTAATGGCTTCATCGGTCTGCGACCTTCAGCACTCACTGGATCGGTTCGCAACCGAGTGTGAAGCGGCTGGGATGAGGATCAGCACCTCCAAATCTGAGGCCATGGTTCTCAGCAGGAAACCGATGGACTGTCCACTTCAAGTAGGGAATGAGTCCTTACCCCAAGTGAAGGAGTTCAAGTATCTCGGGGTCTTGTTCTCGAGTGAGGGAACAATGGAGCGTGAGATGGGCCGGAGAATCGGAGCAGCGGGAGCGGTACTGCAGTCGCTTTACCGCACCGTTGTGACGAAAAGGGAGCTGAGCCAGAAGGCAAAGCTCTCTGTCTACCGGGCCATTTTCGTTCCTACCCTCACCTATGGTCATGAAGGATGGGTCATGACCGAAAGAACGAGATCGCGGATACAAGCGGCCGAGATGGGTTTTCTCCGCAGGGTGGCTGGTGTCTCCCTTAGGGATAAGGTGAGAAGTTCGGTCATCAGGGAGGGACTCGGAGTTGAGCCGCTCCTCCTTCGCGTCGAAAGGAGCCAGTTGAGGTGGTTCGGGCACCTAGTTAGGATGCCACCTGGGCGCCTCCCTAGGGAGGTGTTCCAGGCACGTCCAGCTGGGAAGAGACCAAGGGGTAGACCTAGGACCAGGTGGAGGGATTATATCTCTTCGCTGGCCTGGGAGCGCCTTGGGATCCCCCAGTCAGAGCTGGTTGATGTCGCCAGGGAAAAGAAAGTTTGGGGCTCTCTGCTGGAACTGCTACCCCCGCGACCCGACCACGGATAAGCGGAAGAAGATGGATGGATGGAAGAGGAATATTAATATTTCTTCACAATTACCTATAAGAGAAGATGAAAATCGTCTAAATGGAGTTGTCAAGGCCTTCGAATTTGGAATAAACTGTTCTCTTATAATGAGAAAAAAATCATGTTGACCCGTAATATTACGAAAAAGACAAAAGGATAAACCAGAACCACTTCAGATCTTACCTTTCTAAAAACAAGCAGCTATAATATTTGAGGGAAACATGTTTCTGTAAAGTAAAGGTTAGCCTAGTTTACATCGCGCCAATGACACGCGTTTCTGCAGCGACCTGGGCACAACAACGGTCACTCAACGCATCTAGACTTCTTCGCTGCAAGAGACTTTATCAATCCTGCTCGAGGCAAGTACACAGATGAGGAATAATACATTAAAACCCAGTAAAAATGAACAACACCTCTAGAATAACAAAACAGGACAATTAAATGCAGACTTTTAAACATCCGATATTTGTCATCTATGGTAGATGTAGTAGTCAATGGTTTACAAACAGAAAAACAGGTTGATTTCTGTTGTCTCACTGAAACTTGGCTGAGACATATGTCAGCATTAATGAGGCCATCCACCCTGTCATTTTGTACACTATCTCATTTTGCTAGTCACTGGTCAAGGAGATGGAGTCGCAGCCATCTTTGACTCAAACATACTAATCGTTACAAAACCAACATTACATTTGAATTCTTTTGAAAGCCTAGTAATTAGTCTAACGCATCCAACCTGGAAAACACTGCAGCCAATCTTATACAGTCTATCGCGCACCAAGTCCTTATTCATAATTCCTTTCTAACATTTATGAACTTTTCATAGGTTTAGTCCTCAAAACAAATAAAGTCATTATTGTGGGTGACTTTAATATTCATGTTGATGATGATCCTCTTTATTAGATTCAATTAATCAAAATGTACACAAACCAACTCACTGTTCTAATCCAACCCTAGAACTTGTATTGACATATGGTATTGACATTGAGCATTTATTAGTCTGTGCACATAACCCGCTTTTTCTGACCACTTTTTAATAACTGGTGATGTACTGTTACTGGACTAGAAGGAACTTTTTCATGAAAAATGAAAAATGTTATGATACAAAATGAACCTTCCCTTAGCCAGCACTGAAGTGTCTTCAACCACTGGTACCTTAAAGGTCCCATGTCATGGCCATTTCCACTGATCATAATTCCCAGTGGCGGCCGGCCCATAGTGGCACTAGGGGCGCCGCCCCACCTCTTCCCACATACACAAAAACATATTAAAAAAAATATTAAATGAAAAAATATATATTTAAAAAAAAAAAAATTAAAAAAAATATATATTTTATATTTTTATTTTTAATGAACAAGGTAAATATCATACAATTGGTATCAGTAAAATGTATAATCTACAATAAAATCTGGTTTAAAATGGTGTTACGATGTCTAAAGTAACTGATAAGTCACATGTTTCCTGCCTGCCTTGCCCGTGGCATTAGTTTATCATTACCGGGCGGAGCCCCCGAGACAAACAGCAGCAACCAGCACGTTGCAAAAATCTCAATAGTAAACTGTGCCGCCGAAACATAATTTCAGCCAATCAGCGCCGTCAAATATTTTGGTCACGAGGGCGCTCACGTTGGCGCCCACGTTGGCGCCCACGTTGCTTACGTGCGTTGACATGAGTTGTTTTTTAGACTTGTGAGTGAACAAGGTGATGAGAATGGCTTCGTGTGCAGGTGGAGTCGCCGGACCTCGGTCCCCGCCCAATTCCGTTCAAGAGCTACTCTCCAATCCTTTCGAAAGGAGAAGTTTGGGAGATAAACTGTTGCATAAAGACCTTGGACCGGACCAACCCGATATCACAGCAATTTCGTGAAAAAGACAAAACGAATCAACGAGGCTTCTCACGTAGCTGGTACACCAGAAAGGCATGGCTAGCTGGATGCAAACAGGTAAATGCTGTCTTTTGTTTCCCATGCTTGCTCTTCAAACAGCCGGCGACAGATACGATCTGTTCAGAAACTAGACAAAAGTTAAACAAGAACAAACCACAGACTGCCTGTGTCATGGAGAATACAGTCGCTGGTTTATTTATGTCTGTAGGCCGTTGTTGTGAGTGTGGACGGTCGGAGCATATATAACGTTAGCTTAGCCAAGCTCCATTCAGAAAACACGCATTTTAAAAGGGTTTTTCGCCTGCCGTCTGTCTGCAGACTTGTCAAAGCATTAATTCATGGTTTTTACTAACCGGTATCAGTATGTTGTTACTTCGCCATCATTTTGAAACGTGTATGACAATTAAATCACGGTAAAATATGTTCATCTTGTTGTAGTTGTAGCCCCCTTGCCAGCGATTCTCTCTCTAGTTTAGCATGCTCAGCCCGACTCAGCCTGGTTGTTCCTGGCCCTAGAACCACGATTTTATGGGGCCAGAAAAACTGTGAATTAGGACCCGCTAGCCGGTACTAGGCCAAGTGGAAACGCAACCAAAAACGGGCCCCGCACGGCTCGGCACTGTCTGTGTCATGGCGAATACAGTCGCTGGTTTATTTATGTATGGAGGCCGTTGTTATGAGTCTCAAGTCCCTACCCAATGTCCTGGTCCGTTGGAGGTTCCGCTGGGGGTCCTGCCAACTCCATGTCCTGTCTCGTTGGAGGTCCCGCCGACTACTCTCCTGCCGGGGGTCCTGCCAACCCTTTGTCCTGTACCGCTGGAGCCCCCACCGACTACTCTCCTGCCGGGGGTCCTGCCAACCCATTGTCCTGTCCCGTTGGAGGTCCCGCCGTCTACTCTCCTGCCGGGGGTCCTGCCAACCCTTTGTCCTGTCTCGTTGGAGGTCCCGCCGTCTACTCTCCTGCCGGGGGTCCTGCCAACCCTTTGTCCTGTGCCGTTGGAGGCCCCGCCGACTACTCTCCTGCCGGGGGTCCTGCCAACCCTTTGTCCTGTGCCATTGGAGGCCCCGCCGACTATTCTCCAACCGGGGGTCCTGCCAGCTCCTTGTCCTGTTCCGTTGGAGGCCCCGCCATCCTCTGTCTCGCCGGGGGTCCTGCCAATCCCGTGTCCTGGTCCTCTTCCGTGGGGGATCCTGCCGAGGCCTGTCCCACCAGCTCCGGTTCCTGTCCGGCCGACACCGGGTCCTGCCCGGCCTCCGGCGCTGGCCCGTCAGCGCCTTCCTGCCCGGCCTCCGGAGCTCTCTGGTCTTC